ATCCCTTTGACACCTCGTGATCGCACAGGCTGGTGTGCTTCTTCCATGTGGGCTTTGTTGCTTCTGAGCTACATGACCGCTTGTTTACCTTCAAGCCTTTAAGACCCCAGACGCTATATCCATGATGCAGTTTTAAGAAATGTTGCTTTAATAACATGGATCAAAAATGTCACTCTCTCCCATTTGGTTAAGTTCTTTGGATATGAATCTTCTGATCATTGTGAAAAAGGAAAAAAAATCCTAAAAACATTTTCCCCTTTGTTCACCTTTAGCCAGCAACAATGCCAGGTCCACTATGTTTTTAGTAGAATGTCCGTTATAATCACACAGGTAAACAGGCTAATACATTAATCCTGACCTGATTTACAAAGGCTTTTAAAGAGCAGTTTGGCTTTTATGGGAATTGGCTTGTTCAGCTTTGAGTTTATAAAAGTTATAAACTTTGGTGCTTTCTTTCAGAAATATTTAAAGATATATTTTTTAAGATCGACTAAATGCTCCAGAAATTATTAGCGACTATCCTCTTAAGTGGCTTTTTATGTTCTGTTAGCAAAAAAAACGGTCCTACACTTTGACAGACTTCCTGGGCTCGAAGGAATGGTAAACTGGTGAATTGCTGCCATCTGGTGGCAGATAAAGGTAACAGCAGGTGCCCTTTTAAGAGCCCTGCTGACGCTGTGTAGTGTAGTGGGTTCTGTGTTTTGCTGCTAAGCACAAGATCAGCAGTTCGAAACCATTAGCTGTTCCGAGGAAGAAAGATGAAGTTTTCTACCCTGAAAAGTTTCAACACTCTCCTATAGGGTTGCTATGTAGCAGAATTGACTTGATGGTTGCGAATTTTTTGAATTGTGATGCTGTGAGTCAGAGTGGACACAACGACAGTGAGTTTTATTGATGCTTTTTGGTAGCTCTATAAAACCCCCTGGCTGTGGAGTTAGTTACACATTGAACTGGTCACTACAATGTCAGCAGTTTGAAGCTACTAGCAATTCCATGGGAGGAAGATGTGGATTTCTGTTCTGGTAAAGCCTCGGAAACCCTAGGGAGCTCTATTCCACTCTACCGGGTCTCGATGAATTAGAATCAACTCAGTTTTAGTTGGCTGTGTGGCAATCAGCCTACAACCGGATGGATCCTTTGGGGCGGTTTGTAATTGAAGGGAATAATTGAACAGACATCGGACAAGGCATACGAGGACTCACCTCTCTCATGGAGTCGGTCCAGAGAGAGAGAGAGAGCTAATATATCCTCTTAAAGGTTTATATAGTCTTGGGACATGCAGACCTCATTAAGTACACATGTAACAAGGTGGGCAGTACCTCAATCCTAGAGGTTCCTGAGCTCATTGGGGGAGAACCCTAATACCAGCCCTGGGGGCAGACAGAGGGAGACTGCCCCTTGAGCAGGGAGGAGAGAAACACATCTGCTCCTGTAGATAAAGGCCTTGGGCCGTAGAGTGATCAGCCAGGGGCTTGTAAGAGGTAACGTTAAGGTAGCACTGTTACCGGAGGGTATTATGGGATGGTTCTCAGACAAGAGCGTGTGACTGGGACTCATCCCCAACTCACACAGGTGAAGGCCTCCCTCCACCAGAATCCTGGCTTTCCAGGCTTCTGAATTATGAGCATAGAGAATTTGTCTGCACACTCTCTCTCTTGTTGGTCTTCGGCTTCCCATGGGTTTGGTTTGGTGACTCTATGGGTTAGGTGTTGGAATATCAACCATAAGATTGGCTGTTCGAGTTCACCAGGCACTCTGCAGGAGAACGCTGCGGCTCTCTGTCCCAGTAAAGATTTGCAGTGGTAGAAGTCCTGTCTAGGGTTCAGAACCAAGCCCTGGCAACTCACTGGCAGCGGGAACTCACCCAATAGCAGTGAGTTATAGAGTCCAGCGCAACTCAGTAGCTCTACCAACCACACACACCACACTGTTGCGAGCATACACAATTCACAAATCCACCAATTTCTGCATGTAGAAGGCAGTGTTCTTCATGCCATATAACCCTTATCTCTGTCCTTTTCCAAATCATCCTTCCACCATTAACGTCAACTCATGCCCCTCCAAGCAGAAACTCCCTTGTTCTGCCTCTCTGTCTCCGCTCTCAGAAGCACGGATAATCGGTGGTTTGTAGCTATTTGCTTCTTTTAGCAGTGGGGTCATATCCTCTTTGTCCTTTTGCTCCCTGGATTTCTAAGGCGTGCTAGTGTGGGGCTGGGAAGGGGGCAGTGTGCCTGCATCTCATGTCCTCTCTGCTTGCGTCCAGGTCTGGCCGGCTTTGCTCGCCTCTGCCCCGGGGACCAGTATGAGGTAAGCACGTGTCTCCTCTCGGTGCTCACCCTGAGGCCCCGACAGGGAGAGCCCGATGTGATTATGCTGCCTCTTAAACTGCCTTTATTTCATTGTTTTTCTTTTGAAGGAAAACTTCAGGCCAATAAGAAATTTTTAGAAATTGGTACCAGGTGTCCTTTCACCGAGGTCACCAATGGTCAATAATATGCCACATTTGCTTTAATTAATTGTTGTCGTTGTGATTGTTGTTGTTAGCCGGGCCATTCTGGAGTCAAGTGCAGGCATTGTGATCTTTTGTCTCTGAAGTCGGAAGAGTTGGGCTGGAGGGAGGCATTCTCCATAAAGAATCCTTATGCAGTTCTCAACACCAGCAAATTTCACCCTGGCGCTTGGCCTAGTAGTTAGATGAAAGTGATATCAGGAGCGACCAGTCCCTGGAGAAGGACACCATGCCTGGTAAAGCACGGGGCAGCGACAAGAGGAAGGCCTGGATGACCTGTCCACACAGTAGCTGCAGCAAGGAGCTGAAACATAGCCAGCACTGGGCGGTGGTGCCTTCCCTTGTACAGAGGGTTGCTATGAGCTAGAACCAACTAACAACACCTCACTCACTGCCACTGAGTGGATTCTGACTCAAGCGACCCCCAGTGGGTTCCCTAGACGGTAAGTGTTTACGAGAGTAGAAAGCCCAGTCGTTCTCCCTCAGAGCTGCTGGTGGTTTTGAACTGCTGACCATGCGGATCGCAGCCTAACATGTAACCACTATACCACTAAGCCTCCATCACAGCACCAAGACTTTACCTAAGATCAACCAGTAAACTGACATCTCCTGTGTGGAGTGATGGAGGGGGTGGGCGGGCGGAGGTGGAGCGGCACTCGCTGTATTTAATTGCTCTTTTGATCACGGGGCTGGGTTGGGCCGATGGGGGAGGACGGTGGAGCATGACTTCCCTTCGGTGTCTTCTCCCAGATTTTCATGAAGTACGGCCGACAGAGGTGGAAACTGAAAGGGAAAATAGAAGTCAACGGCAAACAGAGCTGGGATGGAGAAGAAATGGTTTTCCTGCCCCTGATAGTTGGGCTAATTTCCATCAAGGTAGAGTATCGTCATTGTCTTGTCTTTCCTGGTGCTGGAAGACTGAATGGTGCGACCCTTTACCCCTACCATCTGCCTGCTACCGCCACTTCTCGTCCCCTGGATGTCTCTCTGCACTCCAAGTGCACCACGAAGACAGCCAGGCTGGTGTCCGAGAGGCAGAAGTAAATGCAAGGCAGGCTTCGGAAACAGTCGCTTTGATTTCAGATAGAGGAGTCCCTGGATGGTGCACAAGGTTAAAGTGCCTAACTGCTAACTGAAAGGTTAGAGTTTCGAGTCCAGCCAAAGGCGCCTTGGGAAAAAGTCTTGCTGATCTACTTCCCAAAAGCCACCCCCTGGAAATCTTTTGGAGCACGGTCCAGACCGGAGAGAGCCCCACCCATCCTGTCACTGTGGAACCCTTTCTGAGTCAGGGTGACCCCTGTGTGTGCCAGGGTAGAACAGCACTCCACAGGGCTTCCAACGACTGGCTTTTCAGGCCCATTCTCTGAGGTGCCTATGGAAGGGCTCGAACTGCCAATCCTGTGGTGAGCCACTGAGCACGGTCCTTGTCTGAAAAATACAAATAAGACTCCAGGACAAGGAGGCTTCAAAAAGGGCGCAGGGAAAATTGTGTCCTTTAATTCACGGGGTCGCTCGGAGTTGGGATCCACTCAACAGCAACCGGTCAGCTGGATTTCAGATAGGGTTCTGAAACACCCCGACCAGCCCAGCAAAGGGAAAGGGAAAGGATTGTTCTAGCTTTCTCCTCTGCTGTCATGTACGACCTTTCCCCCCCTCTCCTAGGTCACCGAGCTCAAGGGGCTGGCCACTCACCTCCTGGTGGGCAGCGTGACCTGCGAGACCAGAGAGCTGTTTGCAGCCCATCCTCAGGTGGTGGCTGTTGACATCAATGATCTTGGCACCATCAAACTGAACCTGGAAATCACCTGGTAGTAAGTATCCTTTTCTATTTTGTCTCCTAGAAATAGCCACGGCAGCTTGAACTTAAGGTGACCAGATTTTAACCTTGGTAAAGCGGGACACCACTGATAAAGCTCATATCCTGGCGAAATAGCCACATGGCTGCCGAAAACCGTCCACCCTAGCTTGTCGTGCATTCTTTCCAAAAATCGGGATTTTTAAAACGCCGCGGGACACTGGAAAAATTGTTAAACATCGGGACTGTCCCACCAAAAGTGGGACGTCTGGTCACCTTCAGCGTGGTCCTTTTCAAAGGGTGGTCCGTGGACCATCAGCATCACCTAGGAGCTGATTGCAAGGTCCCAGGGTCTGGTCACCAACCTCACCAGGAAGCACCCATGAACGCTAAAGCTCGCGAAGCCATGCGACCTTAATCACGCCCATCATGTCGTTCACCCACCACTCCGGACTCTGACCTAATTTTTCTATCATTCGGAACAGAAGCTCAGTGTCCCCTAAGCATTGTGTGCTGTTGTGTTTTATGTCGTAGACTTCAAAAACATGGAACACTCTGGGCCCTTGTCTCACATGCTTAAGAGGCGCTGAAACAAGTAGGAGTCTCCTTTCATTTCGTTTTTCTTCAAGACTGAACAAGAATCTGTTCATCTTTGATAGTCTTGATGTTTCTGTCCCTAGAAAATTGGCGGGCTTTTTACTTTCCTTCCGTGACAACAGCTTGTGGCAGAGAGAATGTGGCTATGTCCCTGTTGCTATCCTAGGAGACAAAACATACATCGAGGGACAGATGGCCAATAGAGTGTGTTTATATTATGGACACAATTCTGGGGTCTCTTAGGTGGATTTCAGGTCAGGGTCCTATACGTTCTTTGGAATTGGTGGGTTTTCTGAGAAACCTGTTCGACCAGAAACAGCCCAGCGCCCATTGGGTTGACACTCCTTCAGTCGAACGAGTTGGCTGCGTTGTGGTGCTCCCAGGTGGTTTTTTAACCAAAGGTCCCTATTGTCTTGCAGTCCCTTTGACGTGGAGGATGTGACCCCTTCCTCGGGCACAGGAAACAAGGCAGCTGCCCTCCAGCGGAGAATGTCCATGTACAGCCAGGGCACCCCGGAAACACCCACCTTCAAAGATCACTCCTTCTTTGTAAGTTCAGCCCAGTCCTGGGAACTGACAGTGTGCCCGGGCCAGTACCTGCTCCCCAGCTTGAAAGAAGTGCTCAATGCCTGATGTGAGGGCTGCCCCATACTTCCTAAATAGTAGTGCTCCTGACAGCCTGCCCTAGTCTCATAGTGACCATGCAACCCCTTTGCCAAGATGCGTACAGTGGTGAACCTCCACTGCCGGTCCTCTCCCCTCACCCACTGCCCTGGTCACTTGGGTAATGACGTATGGACTTCCCTGGACATCCTCTTAAAGAAGTTGGTGTAAATAAATAGTGCCCCTCCTTCCTTGTACGCTGGGTGCTAACAGAGCATGGTAACCTGTTGCTTCCCACTAACTCCCCGTCTTGCTTTGCCTTCTGAAGAAATGGCTGCATCCTTCACCTGACAAGCCAAGCCGGCTGTCTGTCTTGAGGGCCTTGCAGGACACTTTCTTTGCCAAGCTACAACGCAGCCGCTCTTTCGGTGACCTGCCTTCCCTCCGGCTGCACCCCAGGCCTGGGCTAGGGCTTTATGTGAGTGGGGGCTGCACGGAGGTGATGTGCTGGACTTGGGGGGCTCGGGGGATGGGTGCTTTGGCATGGCTCTCCGCCTCTGCTTGGCTTGTTGGGTCCGGGGATGGTGACTTCTGTTTTGTCCTTGGCGGGAGACTTGGCCGTGCATGCAGCTCTCTAATGGTTGGCTTTGGGGCCCGTGTGCTCTGATTTTTTCACCACTGTGGCAGTTATCCATGATAACAAGATTTCTATTTTCAAAAAGTACAATGGCTGGTAAGGTCAAAGCAGTTGTGCTTCAGAAGTTGTGTGCGTTGGCCACTGGCATTGGCCTGTAGGTACCATTTTAATGTTCAGAAAGCTCACAAGGGCACAGGGAACCCACAAATGTCGAAACCAAGCACGTGGAACTGTTTTGATTTCAAAAGGCTCCTAGTCGTACATTGCAATAGTCACAGTCATGCTATAAATGGGGGACTGTGCAGCTTGGTAGAAGTTTAATTTTTTAAATAATTGTATTTGTATACAATCCACACATCATACACTTCCATAGTGAGGTCGCTTTTAAAAAGGGTTGTGTACACATCATCACAATCAGTTCTAGTGCTCCCTCCCCCCTCCCACATTCACTATTTGCTCCCCAATTCCCCTCACCTTTCCCGCCCACACCCCTTGTTCCAGTTATTGTCTCTGTGCGCCCATTCCTTCTGTGTTTCATAAACTGGGGAAGCTAACGGAAACAATAAAAATAAAATGAAACAAATAATAAGAAGAATATAAAAATAAAAATTAAGAATATAAATAAATATTAAAAATTAAGAAAGAAAAGACCACCGTCAATATATTTTTTTTGGTTTTTTTAAATTATTTTATTGAGGGCTCGTACAATTCTTATCACAGTCCATACATACATCCATTGAGTCAGGCGCATATGTACATTTGTTGCCCTCATCAATCTCAAAACATTTGCCCTCTAATTAAGAAAAAAAAGACCACCGTCAATATTTTTTTTAAAGGCCAGAGAAGAAACTTCTGTCATGGAAGAAGCGAGAAATATTTAAACCTAGAGCAAATATAAACCCTAGGTCGGGTCAAGAAGTTCATCAGACCAGGTATCATATTGCACCGTAGATCCATCCTTGGTAGAAGTTTGAATAGCATCATTTCAATAAGAGCAATATTAGAAAACCTGAATGGCTTCTCTTCTTAATCCCTCCTTCATAACCGCTAAGCCCTCGGATCCGGACCAGCTTGGCCTCAGGCCCAGAGCTCACCTCATGCTCTATTTTCCCTTGTCGGGTCGATTTACTCCAAACATCCCAGTGTCCTCCAAAGGCACAATGACCCTTCCGGGCCTCAGCCCTCAGTCCACAATTCTTTCTAGACTGGCTCCATCCTCCTCCTGTCCTATCCCTCGCCATCCTCCTGGCTGTTCTACTCCCATCCATTCCTCTGACCACAGCTGCCCCTTGCGGGGCTCTTACCTCACCCTATCCACACTCACCTGTAACAGGCATTGCATTGTGCTGTCCCCTGGTAGACAGTAGGTCCCCTTAGACAGGACATCTTAATTATCCTAATGCAATATTTGCCATTTACGTGGGTGCTGATCAGGTTCGGGAAATGTGGGAGTCAAGAGAGATGGTTGAGGAAAACTCCAGAAACATTCTTGACCCACCAGTCCTCCTACCTGGGGCTGCCCCTTCCCTCAGAATCACCAGGATATATGTGGTGAGAGGCTCACATGTGGCTGGTCGGGTCACTTAGAGAGCCAGAGCATTCTGCGCGATGCCTAACAGACCCTCACAGAGAAGGCCAAGGGAGTCACACTCCACACTTCCCACATCGCTTGCTTAAAAATTTTTATCCTTCCCAGAAGTATAAAGCATAGGAAAAGGCATCAAAATTTTTGTGGAAATGTTCTGATTTATTTTTTCGACAAATTTTTGAGGTTCCTTATATTTGTATGGGAGAGATTTCCAATAGAGGAGAGAGGAAATAAATATGGAAGTGCTTGGCTGGGGTGCAAATAGTTAATGCCTGCAACTACTAACCAAAAGGTTGGTGGTTCAAGTCTAGTCAGAGACACTGAAAAAAAGGGGCTTGTGGTCTACTAAACCCTGGTAGCTTAGTGGTTCTGCATTGGGCTGATAACCACAAGGTTAACAGTTCAAAGACATCAGCCACTCTGAGGGAGCAAGACAGGACTTTCTACTCCTGTAAAGAGTTACAGTCTCTGAAACTCACAGGGGCC